TTTTCTGATTGTTCCTCTAACAGATTAATACTGAGGAAATGATCTCCAAGCTCTTTAATCCAGCTTCCCATTGCTTCGATTCTATTCCGTTGCCCTTTCAGTGTATTATCTATCTCTGAAATCTTAGTATTAGTCTTCTGGATTTCTATTGGTTATTTTTGTATGGTTTCTAATTTTCATTATTATTTTTTTTAAATTCAGGTCTATTCTACAGCAATTTCTCTTAAGTTTGACTTTTCCACGACTCCTAGAGGCAGGTATGTTTATACCCAGATACTATCAAAACAAAAATTAATACTTTCTTTTCAGATGTGTTGTGTTTAACAAACTAAGAGGGATAGTGTAGGTGTTTGTGTGTGAATATATGTGTGTGTATGTGTCTGAGAGAGAGAAAGAGTGATTATGATTCATTTGACACTTCTGTTGGTTGAGATCCTTGTTGCAAAGTTTTCCTAATGCTTTAGAAAACTTTCCCAGTTCACACTGGTTCTGCATTTCAGCTGTTAGGTATTTGAATTAGCTCATTCTATTTGTATTTGTTGGGCATGGGTTAGGAGTTTCCAGTATACTGTACAGCTGTAAATAAAGCAACCAAAGCTTATGCCGTAATCATCATTTTGCTCTTATATGAAGCTAGAGGGGACTGAACACAGTGTTCGCATGATGGTTGACTTCTTTCTTGACTCCCCACAGTTGAGATGGAGGACGATGACTTCACAGCTTCCCTGTCAAAGCAGAGCTGCATTACTGAGCAAACACAGTATTTCTTTGATAATGATAGCAAATCATTCAGTGGTGTGTTAGACTGTGGAAACTGTTCCAGGTAATTTGTTTTGTGTTATTTTAATTTCTGCAGTAGTACTAAGGAGCACTAGTGGCAGAGTGGCCCAGGACTAGGCTGTTAACCCAAAGGTCAACAGATCAAACCCATCAGCCTTTCTAAAAGAGAAAGTCAACTTTGGTAAAGAATACAGCCTTGGAAACCCTGTGGGTTCATTCTGCTCTGTCCTATAGTGTCTTTATGAGTTGAAATGGACTCGACAGTGACAGGGTTTAAAGGGATGAATACTATTTCACTAGCAAATTGTATTCATTTTTTAATCATTATAGAAAGTAATGGAAATTATTATTGTAGCCTAGGAAATGTTATGAGTAATTTTAAATTGAAAATATCAGAAAACTCCAGTATTTGTTAGGTTTTAAAATTTTACAATTTACAGAAGTAATTATAAACCTGATAAGTTCTAAATCTGTCAACCATAAAAAGAGGGATATAAATCAAGATAATTTGATGTCGCTTTCAGGAAGAGCATAGAGAATTTTTTATTATTAGAAATTTCATAATAGAAAGATGTTGAATTAGGTACAAAATTAATTCCAAGATTAATATATTCTTTCCACATGAGGTACCTAAACAGTTGTATAAGATATTTTGGATTTGTTTTTTGTTTGTTTGTTTTTACTTCTAACTTTCTCTGACTTGTAGAGTTGAATATCTTTCATATGAAGCTGTAGAAACTAGGAAAAAATGTTTCCTAAATTTCATAGTCAAATTGAATCAGTCAGTAAAATTTAAAACTTGAGTCAAACACCATGATCATTGAATCACTGAATTCTTCTATAATGAAGAAATAAATAGGATGTTGATAGTTTGGGGTTTGGTTGGATTTTTTGTTTTGTTTTTGTTGTGTTTTAAAGCATTGTTTCTTTAGAATAGCTGACCAGATTACATGGCAGTGAGAGCAGAGAAGCTGATACATAGCCTACTTTTAGATGTAGATGATGTAGATGATGCATAGAAAGTGAGAATGCAATTCTGAAAGGGTCGTCTTTTTTTAATATATGGAAATTTTCATTTTGTAGTAATGGAATGTGTTGTTGTAGAGTGTCATCAAGTTGATTACGATTCATAACAACCCTGTATAAGGTTTCCAAAGAGCAGCGGGTGGGTTTAACTGCTGACTTTGTGGTTCACAGTCCAATGCTTATCTTACAACGCCACATTGTTGTTGTTGTTAAGTGCCATCGAGTCAGTTGCCACTTATCGCAACCCTACATAGGGTTTCCAAGGAGAAGCTGTTGAGTTTGAACCACTGACCATATAGGAGTATGGAACAATGGAAGTTTTGAAGTTTTCAGTGGAAAGTGGCAATGTATGCCACAGGATCCCTGAGAAAAGAATAAAAAGTCGTAGGTTACAAGGCACAGTTAGAACATTTTATTTCTCAAAAAGGTTAAGGCAAAGGAGAAGAGGGCAGGTTATTCTAGAAGAAATCTAACATAGAAAGAAGAAATAGGAGAAGATGAGATCATCTGAGAATGGGAAATGCTGGAATACTTAGCTACTGGGGTGTTCAGAAAAGAATTTTGTAGCAGTTAAAATATTTTCAAGAATAAGTTAACTGAAGTATACATGACATTGTAATAGGTCTGTGACTTCCGTTAGCAAACCTCTTATTTCTTCCATAAGTGGTAGGATGTATAAAGGAGGAATTAGGCATGAACACAGAAATAAAGCAGAGCATCCTACTTACAGACTAACACCGGGCTACCAACGTTAGGAACTGGAGTTCAGCCTAGTGGGTACTTAGAATTAGTTTCAAAGTCCATTTTCTTTTTAAAAATCAATACCCAATAATATTAATGTGGGCTTAGAAAACTGGTTTAATTTCATTTTAACATACAGACTAATGTTAAGGGCTTGTATTTGAATAGTGCTTTTCTTTGATTTGTTTTATGCCTGTGTCTTAGGTTCACTGAGGAAAAGTATATAAACTCCATTTTTAGAAAAGTTTATGATCATAAGAAATAATTTTAATAACATTTACATTTTATGTTAGTTAATAAAGAAGACAGAAGCAACTTAAATTGTGAGTAACAGTAGATAGAATCTAAAATCTTTACTTATGTTGTCACCTGTACTATCTAATGCAGTAGCTAACAGACATACAAGTGGCTATTTAAATTTCAAATAAAATTTAAAATGAAAATTTAGTGCAAATATTTCACATGCTGTATTTCAAGTGCCCAGCAGTCTCATGGTTGCTGAATTAGGAGTAGAAAATGCTTTAGTCTCGACTGAAAGTTTATTGAATAGTGCTAAACTAGACCTTATTCTACCGTTAGTTTGGGTAAGGTACTTGGCCACTTTGTGCTCTCAGTTTCTTTATCTTTAAAATATCGGTATATTTTCAAATATCATGATTCTTTAAACATGTAAAATAAAACTTATTTTATATTAGCTGTAACAAAAACTAAATAATGCTTATTTTAACACTTATATTTTTAAAACAAACAACTGGTAAAAAGATATTTTGGTGCTATTTCTTAGTATATGTTTGAGGAAGGTATTGGTGCATGCTAATAAATAAAATACTATAATCTTTTTCTTATAAAATCATCCTCATTGTAATGTACTAATATGTTGGTGATCATTTATGTTCCAGTATGTCATATTTGGCCTTTCAGCTTAGTATATAAGAATTTTTGAATTTTTTTTTTTCCAGAAAGGATTCATTCACTGTGATGTTTTTAATGTTTATTTTGCAGAATCTTTCATGTAGAAAAACTTATGAACACCAACTTGATATTCATAATGGTTGAGAGTAAAGGAACATGTCCCTGTGACACGCGATTGCTCATACAAGCAGAGCAGACTTGTATCCTTTCATATGAGAAGTGCTAAGAATGGGACACCATTTAAAAACACTTTATTTACTCACCTTGCCATGTTTATGCTCAAAATGAGAAAAAAATGTTACAGGATATTGTGCTTACTCAACAGAAATACGATGGATCCCACTATCCAAAATTTGGATTAATGCCAAAACTGAGAATGCCACTCGTGCACCAATAGAGTTGTTATTAGGTGCCTTTGAATCAGTTCTGACTCATAGTAACCCTATGCACAACAGAATGAACCACTGAATTGCCCTGCGCCACCATCACAATTGTTGTTATATGTGAGCCCATTGTTGCTGTCACTGTGTTAATCCATCTCGTTGGAGGTCTTCCTCTTTTTTGGCTGACCCTCTACTTTACCAAGGGTGATGTCCTTCTCTAAAGATGAATCCTTCCTGAAAATATGTCCGAAGAACCAGAGAAGTCTCTCTATCCTCACTTCTATTTTTTTTTTAATAAAGTTTTTATTGTGAATTAAGTGATAGTTTACATGGAGAACATCGGTTTTATACTCATCCTACTGTATTTCATTTCATTGCAATGATAACAATCTCCTCCATGCATCATTATTCAACAGTATTTACTTCCATTCCCCCTGTTTGTTAATTTTTTTTAGATGTACATGAAAACACTCAGGAATATACAATCATTTAAATTTGTATAAGGAACAACATTTGAAATTTGTTTAAGGAACAACACTGAAACAAAATTTGAAAACAAACAACATTCTGTAAGCCTGCCTCCTGGCCGCCAGCACACAGCCTTTCTCTTTCCATGAATCTAAAAGACTTCAACTGCTCTCTCTCTCCATGTCCTCATCTCTGCCACCATGTCTGATGTTGCTGCTTCTCTGGATAAGGTCACACATTCTGCTGATGCTCTTCTCCCTTGATAGTCCTAGAATCCTTTGTTTCTGGAGTATAAGATTAACTAACTACTCCTCCCGCCCCCCCACACCTGTATGTTACAAAACTTCTACCTTTACAGTTAGACAATCACAATTAGTCATGGTAACAATTACTCACTATTGAATCATAAGAATCTTATCCCCATCTCTTTTTACCAGACCCATCTAGACAAGATGAAACCTTTCAGTGTGGATTTTACCTTCCCCTGCATACTCTGAAACTAAATTCACACTTGAAAACTTGTAATTCAGTCACTTCTTACCTTTATAATCCCCTGCTCCCCCCATTTTAGGTAGCCAATGTCTAAGTTGCTATCCCTATTAATCCTGTGTACAGAGGGGACAGGCTTGTTCCTTGTCACTAATATAAAAGTTAACAGAAAAGTTCTGGCTATATTTCTTTGAAAACAGGTTTGTTTGTACTTCTGGCATTCCATGGAACTTTGAATATTCTTCACCAACACCATTATCCAAATGCATCAATTCTTTTATAGTCTCCTTAATTTACTGTCCAATTTTCACATACAGATGAGACAATTGAAAATAGACTCGCTTGGCTCAATTGCCCCTAAACACTTAAACTGACTTCTTTATTCTTTAACACTTTAAAAATCTCTTTTGCAGCTGATTTGCCTAATGCAATGTATCATTTGATTTCCTGACTGTATAAGAGGTTTATTACATTACAAAATAAAGCCTTTCTGCAGATACCAGACAAGGTTCTAAAGCAGATAAGTGAATGTCTTGGAAACAGTGAAGGTCATCTGGCTTAAGGTTTGATGGTTTTTAGGGATTGAGGCTGCAGTGAGGATTCCCTCATTGAATACCAGTGCCTGTGGTTTGAACTAGGCGGTAGCAACAAAAGGGGAAAACACCTGAGTTTTCATATCCACTTGCCCTGATGTAGCTAGAAAGGTAAACGGAGTGATGACTAGAAAGCTGACAGCAATCAAATATCAAAAATGGATTTGGACACTTATTTCATCAGATCCAGTGTGTCATATCTTTTTGCTCTTCAATACTGTTCTTTTATGATTTGAATATGTCCTAACATATTTTTCAAAGGACAAATGACAATACCATTCAATTAATCATAATAAGTAAAATTATGAGAGTTTAATAATATTTTCCTTATACAAATGCTTGATTAACGATGTTATTTGAGTAACATTCTGGAATATGTAATAAAATGAAGTCTGTCAGTGTGGGAAAGGAGAATGATACTTGGCCGACAAAACAGCATAAAAAAGCATATTCAGTTGGGCCACAGGAATATTTTTTACTATATTCAGTGTTCTTTGCTCCTGCCTGACACTGATCTGATGTTGTTGTTTTTATAACATATAAATATGTATCATTGAGATAATATTCAGAAAAAAACATAATTCAATTGGCAGGTTTTTTTTACTTCATATAGGAATTTAATTTTTTTATGCTATATGTAATTTCATTTTTAATATAAGGATTTTCTCAAATGTCAGCT